ATATATATATGTCTATTAAACGGTACAACGATGTTATGGGAGACAGAGATATGGGCACATGCAAATGTGATCGTATCAGATCTTACTTCTTCGTTGCATTGACAAGACGTTGAAAAGACAATAACTTATTTAAAAGAAAAGGGAATTGATATCACGGATAGTTGCTTTGGAGAAATATTGTATCTTAAAAATTTCATTGCACAAACAGAAATTTGATGAAGATTGGAATAAAAAAAACATGCATGACAAATGGTTATATTTCTTTCAAAAAAACTGATATATTGGAAAGAAAACGTAATTTAATTTTCATGTGCCAATACTTATTTGCCATTCCTGGTCATAATGCTAATGTTGAAAGGATATTTTGACTGATAATGGCCCAGTGGACAAAAGAATGTAACCGTCTTCAAGTAGAAACTGTAGAAAGTATCATTCAATGCAAATTTAATTTCAAAATGACTTGTTCGGAATTTAATATGTATGCTATGGCAAAACCAGAGCTATTGAAACAGGTGAAAAAATCAGAAAAATATAATATTTCAAAATAAATGTATAAATAATAATTCAATGTCATTATTATTTTATTTTATTATATATATTTATATATATATTGATCAGGTACATTACACCGTGTTCTAAATTTTATAATAAAAAAAAAGGTTGTCTAAATTATTTTTGTAAATGTCCCGGTCAGTACTTGAACTTTTATGGCAACCCTACATTAGTGTGATTTTTTTTCACCGTACCACTTACGTGTTAAAATTTATAATTATTTATGTGTAAAGATTATTCTAGAAGTTTCGAGAATATTTGAGAAACTTCTATTTTGATTCATTACAAAATACAGCCTCTATCCAAGATCCCAAACCAGTAATAATTGATTCAGGAGGTCAATTTTATACCTAGATCCATTAGTTTAAATAATTCAACACAAAAAGAACCTTAAAGAAATATTTATTTCATATTTGATATTAATTCATCAACTTTACCAAATTGTCCGCGAATTTCTTCTGCAATTCTTTGTAGTCCGCGGACACAATAAGTGACGTGAATCATTTTTGTATTTAAATTTTTAAGATCAGTACCCGATTTTATCATATAAGGAACAGCATCTGATAAAACTAATAAGACGTTATTGTATTTTCTATCACCAGGTCTCTTAAGACTCATTGCTTTTTCAAATAGTTAAATGAGTGGCTTTTCTAATTCTTCTAAGTGTAGTAAAAATATACAGCCTGGACAAACTGGTCTAAGATTTCCAACAATAACATTGACTTTAAATCATCCTTCAACATCACATATCTCACCCAAATTTTGTTTTATTGGATTTCCCATTTTATTTTATCCACAGTAGTATTAAAAATATCGCCAATATAACCTTTTCGTAATCTCGATTCCGTTGAGTTACCATTACCGGTATAATTCTTTAAAAATGTTCTAAATATATTGTTAGAAAGCTTATTTAACGGAATATTAGCAGAAACCATGGCTTGAGGTTAATTCATATTAAAATTTGATTTCGCTGAATTTTGATTGATTAATAGTGAGCTATATTCTGTGAATATTTTTCGAAACGCTCGACAATTTTAATGTGTTACGTCGCTATTTAGGGGTTTAGCATAAATGCCTGTCGATTGTATTCTAAGGGACCAACGGGGGATAGCTGGCTAGGCTATATCTACCGTAGGTACTGAAGTTTCCTATTTAATTTATATTCCCTTAGAGGAACTACCAAGGGTCGCACTACAATATATATATATATATATAACACTTTAGGTTAACAACGATATAAATAAATATTTATTAAGCAATTGAAATATTAAATAGATAATACAACCTGCTGGACATTTAGAGATATTATAATCCAACAGGGAGCTGACGGCGACACACACACACACTATAATATACGGGGTAGCGAAGTTAAGTTAATTATCAGGCAAAAGTAGTGATCGCGAAGATGGTAAAATGTCAACTGTCGATAGGGATATCTTATTATGGCACATTGGCCGTGAATTGCAAAAAGAGTTTATGTGTGCAGTCCGCCCTCCTGTTAGTATTGTTGTATGTCACTGTGTTAATTATATATATANATTAGCAGAAACCATGGCTTGAGATAAATTCATATTAAAATTTGATTTCGCTGAATTTTGATTGATTAATATTCTGTGAATATTTTTCGAAACGCTCGACAATTTTAATGTATTTATCAATTTTTAAATGTTGAGATATATTATATTTTTTTTCAAATTTTATCTTTATCTCATTCATTTTACAATATAAGACATGCCTGTCTGTGGATAAAATTTCAAACTTGAATTCTAAAACATATTTTTTTAAAAGCGCACTAGCTGATACCTTTTCTTTTCCCATTTCACTTTAAATATACAACTAAGATCAACTAATCTCTAGTCAATACAATGTGATCGGTTATCCCTATCGGGATTATCAAATTACGGTGATCTCATATTATTTATAAAATACATTATTCATTGATATTGCCGAAATAACAAGAATTAGTTATAGTTTGATTTTCCATAATGCAGCGTTAATACAGTGTTGAAATATTTTTATCACTCCCTAATCTGCGACGACCGACACTGCTAATAAATAACAAAAAATAAAATACGTATGTAATGAAAATATTTTTAGTTTGTTTTTTCGCAAATATCTAATAATAAAAAAATAAAAAAAAAAACAGAATTTTTTTTATGTAATTATTATAAATTATATTGTATAAAATAAACAAAAAAAAAAGAAGAGCTGTAAAAAAACATAACTTGTAATAAAACAACAAAATAAGCAAAAAAAAGCATATTCAAATTTTACGTAAAATATCGTTGTAACATGCCATAAACTTGTATAGCATTCTACTACTTATTATGTTCATCCAAAAATATATCAAATGCTTTAAGTTCCGAGTCCTACATATTATAATGGAGTACTATTTAGCTTCATAAGGTAATTTAGGTACAGTCGAATATATTTTATTCCATTAAATAATAGCTTAACACTAATTTTCAAATTTACTTTATCTTCCTTTAGTAATAATAATGGATATAATTAATCAATGATGATAATTTCCGATATTATTTTTAATTTTTACTATTTTTTGACACAGCACTGCGTTTTGCTTTAGACGGCCGCTCAATGGTATCTTTCTTTATGTCAACCGTCCATTTATTAGTAAGACAATCGGTGGTCATCGTGCATTTCCCCGTTATGGACTCCATGACAAGGCCGCTGCTGACTGTATATTTCTGATAATTAGATTTGTTAAAGGTTGCCGTCGGCCTTTTCTCCANTATTAGATTTGTTAAAGGTTGTCTCCAGAGAATTTAAAGTAAATTTATCTTATAAATACTAATTAAATAACAATAAAAAAATTCAATCAAACCATAATCAATATTCAATTGTGGCTGTAATTAAACTATAATAATTGATTGACATAACTTTTACAATTATATAGGCATCGCGTATTTATAATAACATTTCATATAAACAACCTTTTAAATAATATTTATACAAAAAAAAGTAATTATAAACAAATACGATCTGTTATTTTCCTTCCTCATCTCGTTCTTGATTCCCCTAAGAGATCACCACCATATACTAATAATAACATCCAGTTCAATATCATGATAGCTGATGATGGAAAATAATCCGAATGATTGTTGAAAACTATTAGTCTTATTAATTGCACATTATTACTATATCGCATAAAATATAACACATGCGTAATTTAACAATTTTTAAACCGCCAATTATTTATCAATTATGCTTAAGCAACATCTACTCTTCACGTCACTGTCTAAAATGTAATACACATGTGTTTGTAATTTAAAAGTATAAATATTATTTTATATGATTTAATTAACTGTTATAAATTTATACTACTGACAATGATGTATCTGAAGTAGAAATTTCTTTTATTTCATATATGTTCCTAGTTTGTGAAGCTTTGTTTTTAAATGTCATACGAACTCTTCCAATAATATATATTGACAATGTGTCCAGTATTAAATATTTATTAATGTATAGTTGAGATTCTTACCAACAATTAATCCATTATCCAAACCATTAAAATTCGATATTTTTATACACTTAAGTTGTGTTTGAATATTAAACGCGATAAATAAAATAAAATATAATATTCTTTCTTCTTGTTTAAACATGTGTTTTTTTTGTTTAGAACAGTTTTTATACTATCATAAATATAAAAATTTATACGTGTTTAAAACTAATTTTAAACTTAAAAAATATTTTAACTCTTGTATACAAAATAACAGTATAAGAGATTAAAGTAGTGTTAAGTAATTGAATAAAATTTAAGTTATTTCGTCACGTATTTGTCATTATTATATCATGCATAAAATCTTAATTTTTAACAAAATAAAATTTACTTATCTACATGATTAATTCTGTTCAATATTCAGATTTAATTCCTTAGATAACTAGTTATTTTGTGTTTTAAAGAAGAGAACTGTGTTTTGGTGATCATGTAAATTTATAATATGTGACATATATGTACAAATGTTAACATCATATAATATGCTAATATTAAAAGTGATTACATAATATTACAATTTACCTACATGACACATTAAATTCAGTGTTGGCACTTTTATCTATTTATGACTACTTTTTTACATTTTTAACTGGTCGGGAACAATGGATTATGTACAAAAAATAACTATTTTAAACTAATATTGAAACTAAAAAAATCAAAGCATTTAAATAAGTATTTTTAAAATTCAAAATCATTATTTTTTTATACTATTTATTGTGTTCTCTTATGTGCAAAAACTATATTCAGAAATCAGAATTGTATTGAATTTCATGTAGAAATAACCATATTAATTATTATCATTTAATAGCATTATTCTAAAATTTCTAAAAAATGACATCATTAAAAATAGTTTTAAAGTGCTTTTTATTATTTTATATTATATTACGTATCGAATCGGAAAATAATAAAATAGAAAATACTCGTATTGTGAATAATCTTTTCAAATGTATTGGTTGGAAAAATTTAAAACGTGTCAAAAATGTAACTTATTTATGGAAAAACTATGATCTTCCTAGTATAATTCAACAGCCAATAACGCCAATTGATTGTAATAAGAAAATACGAATTGCAACTGTTTTTCTAGGTTGCATTTACATAAGTATTATAATGGACATAATGAGTGCCGTCAACTATCAACGAATATTCTGTGACGAAATAATGAGCAATGAATTTAATAAAACACAAGGCTATAATTGCACTTTAAAATTATTAGAAATTATGACAAATTTTACTTTATTTACAAAAAAAATACAAGGAGCACTGTATGCAATAGACAGTTTGCATAGATACCCATGGAAATTGAGCGATAAGTCTTATATTATTTTGAACTTTATATCTGAAGATTTTCAAAATTTACAAAGCCAACTAGATAAATGGAGTCCATCGCGTGATGATTTGGGATATAATAAATCTATATTATGTACTATATTGTTTGAAATGGAAAATATTAAAATGAAAATACTGTGTAATACCCGACAATTTTGTACATTAGAAAGTGATAATATATTTGTGTTAACAAATAATTTGAACATCCTATATAAAAATATAGACTTGAACGGAGAAAATATAGCAGTTTATTATAGCGGCAGTGAAATTATATTAAATGGAATCGAGATGTTTATTTTAGAAAATTTTACCAAACTTGGATTTAAATTTGATTTATACAATGGAGAAACTTTCATTCCAAATTCATTACTTCATCTTTTTACAGGTATATTTTTATGTTTCAATATGATATAATTAATGAAATCATTTATTGTTGCTATAAAATAAAGGTTTTGGATTTTAGAATAAACTATTTTGACTGTTTATATATAAATAGAATTGTATTACTAAATAATCACAAACAATAATATTAAAATTAATAAAATTTAAGTCTCTTTCCTTAATCTTGCCTTAATATGAATATGTCATAAGTGATATTTTAAAATAATTTTAGCAATAATCAGTGAAATTAAAGTAGATTTATTAAGAATTTGCTATGAATAATTTTTTTTTCAATATTTATTCACATGTATATTTTCTATTTAGTCTTGTTTGAGGGAAATAATTAATTATTTATTTGAATATACCTAATAATATACTACAAATTTAAATATATGTATGTTAATCCCTATCCTATTTCATTCTACACTAGATATAAAATTATAAAAGTTTTAAAAAATAAATACAAATTATGCTCCTTTATTAAATATCAATATATACACAATTTTATGTTATTTTGTACAGCGAGGCAAAAATTATTTAAATAAAAATACTGTAATCTTACACATTCATCCCACATTCATTTCAAGTTTATTTTTATGTTTTAATGTGATATCATTAATGAAATAATTTATTTTTGTTATAAAATAAAGGTTTTGGATTTTAGAATAAACTGATAACATAATTTACTTTTTTACTATTTAAATAATTAACTATTTTGACAGTTTTAGTGTGTATAGATTGGTAAACAGTACAAGATTTCTCTTATGAAGACATGAATTTATTTTAAAAATTTAATACACTCAACATTTTATTTTTAATATTTCAATATTTCCAATAATATAATTTATTTAAGGTTATTATTAAAATTAAAAATCTATGCCGTCACTAAATTGCAAAACCGTCACTCCTATCAATATTAAAATTAATGAAATTTATATTATTTCTCTTGTGGATAGGGAATAATAATACTTCCACGGCCCCTCTGCCAGTCGTAAGAGGCGACTAACGAGGTTGCATCAGGTCGATAGCCGATGTTAAATTTTTGTCAAAAAGTATGAGAAGTCCTGAACAAAACTTAGCCGGATTGTTCCATCTCGGATGAACGCGAGGACAACAGGTGAGAGGAAGTAAAGTAGTTAAAAACGGAGAAGGTCTAAGGAATAAAGTGTTTCATACCAGCCGGAAAACTTGTGTGGTAGCTGTTTCACCAGTCATGTGTACAAGCCTACTCAACCCTTGTAATGTCAACGGTGTTGGGACATCAATCTTCAACTCTAGACTGAACTCGTGTATAAGGATGAAAGATAGATACATAGTAAGAATTAGTACGTGGAATGACAGAACATTAACTAGTAGAATTAGACAATTAATATTGATGAAGAGAAAAGTTAATATTTGTTGTGTGCAGGAAATTAAGTCGAAAGGGAGAGAAAGCAAGGGAAATAGATGAGAGTTACATATATATTCAGGTAAAACCAATACAAGAAATGGTATTGGGAATATAATTAATAATAAAATTAAGTAAAGTAGTAGAAATAGATAGAAAAAGTGACAGAATTATAGTCGTAAAATTAATTTTCGAAGAAAAATTGTTGATTGCAGTAAGTGTCTATGTACCACAAGTTTAATGTTATTAAATAGACTAGGAAGTGTTTAGGAGAGAGATGGATTAGGTGATGCAAAAAATACCTGGTCGGGTTATGGTTGGATAGGTTGAGATATGAATGGACATGTAGGTAATGAGAGAAGAAGATATGAAAGAATACAAGAAGGTTATGGTTTCAGTGGGAATAATGAAGCTAGAGAAATAATAATGGATTTCGCAGTATCGTCTGATCTTTCTGTGGTTAATAATTATTTTAGAAAGAAGGAAGAAAATCATACAACTTAAAAAAGTGGTAGTAATAGATACAGATTGACTATTTTATTTGGAAGGGAGAGTGTACCGCGAGTAGTAAATAATATATGGATGCTATAGTTTCAGTAAAAACAATGAGGCTAGAGAAGGAATCCTTGAGAGAGTGTAACTGCACAAAATTGACATATTCATAAATCTAGGATTTGGTGGTAGAAATTGAAAGTGGAAAATAAAAAAGAGATTTTAAAGTCAATAAAAGAGAGGATGGTGTGAAATAATGAGGATGACATAAATTATGTGTGGAATAGATTTGTTAGTTGTGTAAAGAATACTGCAAAAGAGATAGTTGGTCAGATCATAGGAGTAAAATGTTTAGAAACAAGAATACATGGTGGTGGGATGGGGATGTTCAGGAAATCATAGATAGTATGTAAAAACAATTCAAAGTATAGATTATGATCAAACGATGAAATGATTGGATGCTGTATAAACGATTGTGTAAAAAAATTAAGTTTAAAAGGTATGATGAGTTGTGTGATAAGCTAGGAACAAAGGGAGGTTAAAAAGAAGTCTATACACTTGCAAAAGTAACAGGAAAATGGTATAAAGATAATCAAAATAAATAGTGTATATAATGCGATAATATAAAAGTACTAACGAGTAATGATTATGTGAAACAAGGAAAAATTATTTAGGAAAATTTTTGAATGAGAAGTATCCAAGAGAGACAATAAAAGATATTTCATTGAACGAAGGATTGGTAGATTTTATTAGTGCAAAAAAAGTATGAGAGAAGAACATGGTAAGTAAAATGAGGAGGTCTGTCACAATAAGCGAGAACGTGATAGGTGAGGTGGAAAGTTTTAAGTAATTAGTATCAGTTATGCAAAAGAACGGTGGTGATTATTTAAACACAGGATAAAGTGTGGAAGGGTGAAATGCAGAGAAGCGTCTGTTGTTTTATGCGATATAAAAATTTTAATGAGACGGAATAATAAATTTTAGAAGACTGTAGCGAGACTAGCTATAAATCATGGTTCAGAGTGTTGGGTAGTTGACAAAAATAGAACAAAGAATAAGTATAACAGAGATAAGGATGTTTACTGTTAATTTAGATTATTAGAATTTTAATAATAATTAGAACTCATTAAATTCAAGAAGCAATACATCAATAGTAAGACTATGCGACCAAACGACAGTGATATCAGTAGTAAGATTGATTTTTGTTTATAACAACAAAATTACAACGAAAATTATTATTAAAAAAAACTTCAAATACCAATGAGATTATATTTTTTAATTAAAATTTATGTTTTTCTTTATTAAAAACAGTAAATAAAGAACAATAAAAATATTTAAATACTGAAATAATTTTCTATGTACATATCTTTAGAAGCAAACAATGAATCAAAATCATCTCCAGCTACGAATCCAGTAGTTCATGATTTTCTTCAAAAAGGTAAATTACTTTTTAATTAACTAAAATATGTGTCTTCAAAATCAGCTGTATAGTTCAGTGGAATTTACCATTTTCCGTAACACATCTTTTGTTGAAATTATTTAAACTTAAATATTCTAAATTTTTTTTCTCACCTTTATGGAGAGATGGCGGCAATGAGCTTTTTGATAAAATTTTTAAACGTTCACGGTGTGCTAAAAATAATTTTCTCATCCTCGCGAATAATTTCCCTAAAATAATGCGGTTGAGCTATTTCATTAAAAAAAAAATTTGAAAATCGTACATCGTTAAGTAGTTTTTTCAGCATTGGCTAATTCGTTATTTATTTTACTTTGTTATAAATAGGTATTTATAAAATTATAAAAATGATATTTCAAATACTAAAAAATTTTTTTTTCAAATACCACTTGGTGTTTCCTTTATAAGTAAAAACTATATTAGGAATCAGAATTTATAGAATAACTTATAAAAAATTTACCAATATAAGCATCTATGATGATTGTTTCAAAGTGTTTGTTATTATTTTGTGTCGTTTTATGTACTGAATCAACAACAAATACAGTAGAAAATACTCGTATTATGAATAATCTTTTTAAATGTGTTGGATGGAAAAATTTAAAATATATCAAAAATGTAACTTACTTATATCGAAATAAAGATCTTTCCAGTATCATTGAAGAGCCAATAACACCAAAAACATGTAATTCAAAAATACGAGCCATGACTGTATTCCTTGGTTGCACATACGCGAATATTTTATTGGACATTGTAACTGCTGTCAACTGTCAACGAATATTCTGTGAACAAATAATGAATAATGAAATTTATAAATTACATGGCTACAATTGCACTGTAAAACTATTAGAAATTATTTCCAACATAATTTTATTTACAAAAAAAATACAAGGAGCCCTGTATACTATAGACAAACTGCATACGCATCCATGGATCAATGGTGTAAAGTACAGTATAATTTTAAAGTTAGTATTTGACGAGTTTCAAAATTTACAAGGCATATTATATGATTTTCCTTCATGCGAATATTTGACATACAATAAAACTATACTACATAAAATAGAAAAAATAATGAAACACATTGAAATAAAAATAGATTTTAACATTGAATTGTATTGTACATTGGAGTGTGGTAATGTGTCTGTGTTAACAAACAAATTGAACGTAATATATAACAATGTAAAATTTAACGGAGAAAATATAGAATTGTATAATTTTGGCAGTGAAACTATATTAAGTGAAATCGAGATTATGATTACAAATTTTTTTACCAAACTAGGCTTCGAATTTAATTTAGAAACTGGCGAAACATTCATTCCAGATTCATTAGATCATCTTTTTGGAGGTATATTTTATATATTTCAATATGATATAATTGGTACAGTAATTAATTTTTGTAACTTTTTAACTATTTAACTTATTAACTATTTTGACCGATTCCGTGTATATAGATTGCGTAAGACTACTAGATTTCTTTTATGAAGATATGATTTTATTTAAAAAAAACCCCAGCACAGTGGGGTCGCGGCATAGTGTAGACGTTGCATAGTTGGGTCCAGTATAGATTTAATCTAACAGTGATTAAAATCACTATCATAAGAAACGCTTCGATGCAAATCTGTAGATAGTGTTTAATTCTAAGAAATTGGTGGATAATTACAAAAGCTACATTATCTGCTAGTTTCTTATTAATACCCTGATTAAGATAAAGTATGTCGAATGAAAAAGGGATTATTAAAAAATATTATTTCTCATAAAAAAATTGTNTCTTATTATATAATAGAACAAGGAAAAAAACGCTTTTCTGGGAAAATTACTTAGTGTGCTCGGATTTTCAACATTTTTTTTTTCAACAAAAGTACTCGATCACCAGACTCCGGGAAAATTATTGGCGAAGGTCGGAAAATTTTTGCCGCTCGCCCGCAAGCGTTTTAAAATTTCGACCGTTTTCGAGAAAAACGCTCGCTGACGCCAGCGTTTTACGACTTAAGGTTTGAAATTTTCATCAGACCCGCCCAATGACATTCCTGAGATATGATAAAAAAATCAATTGAATCCGTTCATTTTTCACCGTTTTACGAGCTTTTTTTTTTTTTTTAAGTCCACGCGCATGGTTGTATTATGCGCAGTGATTCATTTCTCCTGATACGTATTATGAACCTTAATTATATGGTGTATTATGTATTATTATTAGGACACTATTTTACATTAGCCCTATTTTTATCAAGGAATGTTATATATTATATATAAATTTCATGACATTATAATTATTTAAGTTTGTACTTTCATTATAAGAACAGTACTAAGTACAGAGTTAATAATTTTTTTTTCCTCATATATGATGTATGAGACTATAAGTTTATCTTTTGAATTGGGGTTCATCTATGATAACTATGCTGTCCAACGTTAAATCGCAGTTACCAATATATTTATGAAAATTAAATTTTTATTTTTATTTTTAATATTAATTTTATTTTAATATTAATTTTAATTTAAATTTACAGTGTGCCACTTATAATAACCTGCTAAATTTTTTTTTAATTATTCTATAATATAAACACAATTATTATAATTAGATTATTAATAAATTTTGTGTATAACAGGGGTGTATTTATGAGAGATTGGCCCCTCCTTGAACAAGCGCTATCACTATTTTTTTAGGCAACTTCTAATATATAAGGACCTAATGTCCTTTTTTTTCATCATTACTTTAATTTTAGCAAAAAAAAATTCTATAACATGTTTAACAAAGTAAAAAATATTAAATTTCCTCCTAAAATAATTTTTGAATAGACCTAAAGGGAATACCTCATTAAGAGGCTTCAACCTTATACCCAATACATTTTACTATATTCTCTTTTTGAATTTTCCTGATTTTAATAATAACATTTTTAGATATAGTTTTCTATAGTTTTCAATGATTCTGAAGTAATATTTTTTCTGAAAAACACTTATCGTGCCCGGCGTAGCCGGGTACTTCTACCGGAATCAGTGGCCTACTTATGATGACGGCCCGAAGAGGCTTAGGCGGCGGGTCTGGGGCGGAGCCCCAACTAGGCGGAGCCTAGTATTATATAATTTTTAAAATTAATTGTTTTCAAATTATTATTGATTTTGATTTTTAATATGTTAAAAGTAATAATTTTGAACTTACTTTTTATTGTCCTTTAAAGTGAAAGTTTTATTAAAAAAAAAAATGAATTTATTACCATAACAAGTAGCTCAATTTGCAAGTTTGAAATTGACATTACTAAATAGATAAAAATGTAATTGTTAAGATTAATATGCTGTCAGAAATTACTATTTAATTACTATTTACTATTTACAGTATATTTATCAGAAAAGTTAGATTTTTTTACATTTTTATCGTAATAGATCACTTAAATAAAAATCATAGTAATCATTTTTAATTAACTTTTGGTGTTTAATAAGATTCTACAATGGAAATATTCAGAATTTAATTAATTTTAATGATTATATATCTAAAAAAACCAATAAAAAAAAAGTTATTCAATTTAGCCTATTATAAAAATAATAATTATAACAAAATAGGGCAGTGTATTGCCCTTATAAGATATTTTAAAATCAAATAAAATACAAAACCCAGGATTTTAACACAAAAATAGCATATTTTTGAATACGGTAGCCATTTGCACAAAGAAGATAAGGTGTTCGGAAAAATTTTTTTTTTTCATTTGATAGTATACAGTGTTTTAATGTAATATAAAAAATTAAATGTGAGTGGATGAAATGCGATAAAAGGATAGTTGATGTGTGCGTAGATGATGGTGAGATCGTGTCAACTGGAAATTTAGGATATGTAACGAACCCAAGTAGTTGGGATAAAAGTGAGTAAAAATAAGAATATTTAGAAAAATTGACTGAATTCGAAAATTTTCCTGCTACGATTCGAGTTTTTTATAATTTTCTTCAAAACTATTTACGCCGATGACAGTGATATTAGTAGTGTTATAAACAAAATTTATATTTACTCTTTCATTATTTTTTAATAAAATAATTTTAGTCTCTCGTTTGTATATTGTCGCGCTTTTTTTTAGCTTCGATGCGAAGCTGAGAAGGTATTAATTTNTTTTTAAATTATATTCTAATAAATTATCTTAAGATAAATTATCGATTATAGTAAAGTCTATCAAAAATATATGGCTTTTGAACCTTACCTCTAAAATAGTTTTACCTATCACATTCAAATGTGATCCATTAGTTGTAGTTAATGTAACATTATTAAGTGGATAAATAATATGATCATGGGGTAAAATACACTTATTTATAATGCTTGTACTCGCTTCTGTATCAACGACGAAATTAATATCTTTTTTTATTTACTTTACTCATTATCAGTGGAAAATCGTAAATTTTAATCGAATTCAAGGATTGAGTGTTTAATTCACAACTAGTTATCCTTTCGTTAATATCAATTTTTCATTAATTAAAATTGGGTCAATTTTATTCCCTTTTAATTGATTAGAATTATACATGGTTACCTACTTCACCTATATTTCCATAACCATTAAATTTACCACAATTTTTTTAAAGAGAATCTATTTCCATTTTCAAAATTTCCAAATCGCTATTGTATTTTTCAAATATGTATTTTTTTCAATTCTTCAAATATTTTCTATTAATTTATCTACTGCGTTATTATCCAAAGACATAAATTTATTAATTATTTCATCTGGTAGTCCCTTAAAAATACTCTATGATATGTTTTTCCAACATGATACCTATAAATCTACGACATTCAGCTACTGCTCTTACCAAAAATTGTTTAATAGATTCATTATCAGTCATTTTCATCTTTATTAAATTTTTTCTTATTAAATTTAGATTATTGTTAGAGTTAAAATTAATTAATGACAGTTTAAAATTTTCCTAAGTTAAATTTGTCGATCGATATTGTATAAATTCAAATATTTTAAGTGCATAATCCTGTAAGTATAAGGATAACATGGAAAGTTTTTTATTATCATCCCAATCTTTCGCTTTCGCTACGCGATCGAAATATTAAAAATATTTATCAATATTCGTTTTCACATCTCCAAATATGTTATCAGTTCGATAAAATTTGAAAATTTCTATAAATTATACACTTATAAACAAAACCAATATGATAGAAGTTATTATTACGCCCAAAGAGCAATTGATATTCCCAAAAAAAAAATTATAGTATTAATTATAAAAAATTTTGCTTAAATATTCTGACTATAACTCTTGTACACTTTAGAGGAATCGACTTCATCTAAGATTATAAGATTAAAAAGATAGAAATTATATCTTGGAACTCGATTAAAATACAAAGATCGAGGCCTTCTCTATATGTTAAGAGTTTGTTTAATACTTGAGGATCTTGATTATAACCAAGAATTGGAAGCTACCTGACGTCTGCCCAAATATTATTCCCATCTTCTTAAATGATTTTTAATTACCTGAAGGAGATACAGGCCATCGTGTGCATTAGTTACTAGAGAGAGATTATATAATAAAGTTAAACTATTGTTTTATGTCAACGACAAAGTAAAGTTATATTTTAGATGTTCAGAAAATATAAGTTATATCAATTTTACAAGGCGTCTGACCTGAATCCTAGTACAGTTGGTTAGTAGGTATATCCAAGTGAGAAGGAGTTGGTTGGCTATAATGACAATTGGCGATAGACGAGTCGTTGAATAAAACAAGCTGTTAATAATATAAATATATTTTAAAAAAATACTAAAAAAACAGGCTTTTAAAGCACATCGAACTAAAAAGTTAAAAATAATTTTTAAAATATCCTTAAAACAATAATAAATGAAAAATACTAGTATTATTGTGATAAAAGCGTCTGGATTCGTTCATACGAAAAATATAGCACAAAGCACCCACACTTTTATCACAATAATAATAGTATTTTTCGTTCATTATTGTTTTAAGCTTATTTTAAAAATTATTTTTAACTTTTTAGTTCGATGTACTTCAATAGTGTGTTTTTTTAGTTTTTTTTAACTATATTTATTTTTCACTTTTTAGTTTCATGGTATGATATTAGTTACTATCAATATCATGATTGTAATGATTAAGGGAAATCAGGGTTCGATTCCGGGGAGGGAGTCTGAGAAACGGCTACCGTATCCAAGGAAAGCAGCAGGCGCATAAATTACCCACTCCCGGATCATGGAGGTAGTGACGAAAAATGACGATACGGGAATCATCCTTTGTAATCGGAATGAATACACTCTATATCTCTTAATAAGAATAAAGCGTGTTAATATATATTTTTAATAGTAATTAGAATATATACAGGGTGTTCAGTAAATAAGGAAACGAATTTCTATTGTACTCATTGTTTGTAACAATTTAACTGTTTCCTAACTTACTGAACACTCTGTATTTACAAGTAAAGTGACTTAAGTACGTAAACGTATCATTTACTAGGTATAGCTGTGTTTTGTGGGCGGACGGGTCGACTAACGTTATACCTGAGGTATAAATGGCGGTAAGAACTATAACGTAAGCCGTATGACACGCGGTTGGTATTGGTCAGTCAAAATAAAAATTTGTTTATATATATATATATATAATATTGATGACATTCACGCATGTACGGATACGATAACCAATAATAAATTTATACAGGATTAGTGTTTCTGTCGTGTGGTGAGTAGGGTGGGGTGAATGCGTTACGACGTCTAGTCTCAAGGTCATAGACGACGGGTACGCGAGAATAATAACACGTGCCGTGTGGAAAGTTACAAACACACATCACACATACAAATGAAACTAATATAAGCGTGTTAATAAATAGGATTAAAGTAATACTATTGAAAACTATGTCAATAACGGCCACTCAAACACAACTGCCCTTTGTTAGTTCGACGTCAATAGCTCTGGGCTACAGACGAGCAGAATTGTCACATCAGCATCTTCCCCTTATGCTAATTATTATGTATTATAAATTAGGTAAATGAAAATAAAACCTGTATAATATAAGTGGTAAGAACATAGTAATAAATGTTCTTACAGTAGTAAAATTGCTCATTGTTAATAACAAATATAAATTAAAATAAGTCTACCCACTTTCTCCAAAAAATATTTCCGAATTCCAATCATTTTTTAGTTCAAAATATATATTGTTTATCATTAGATAACAATAAATAAGAAACTATGTAATCACTGAAATGTGTTTTTTAATTACTTTTATTTAGAAGCAGTCAATGAATCCGAAACCTCTCCAGCTACGAATCCAGATTGTTATGATTTTCTTCAAAAAGGTAATTTACTTGTAATAATTGTACGATTTTACCAATTTGATTTTATTTTACACTCGATAAAAAGTATATTATAAAGAATAGTTTTAGAGAAAAAATGAAAATTTTATTAAATCTCAATTTAAACACAATTTTACGTCATTTTGTACAGGGGGGCTAAAAATATTAAAAAAAAAATATTGTAATCTTACATAATGTAGGTGAAATAAGAAGGTCAGGGAAAATAGGCGAGGACGGGATTGGAGTGGGGGAGAGTTTTAAGTATTTAGGGTCAGTTGTGAAAAAGAGTGGTGGTGTTGACGAGGATGTAAGACACAGAATTAAGTGCGGGTGGTTGAAGTGAAGAGAATCGTCTGGCGTCTTATGCGATAAAATAATTCCAATGAGACTAAAAGATAAATTCTACAAGACTGTAATAAGACCAGCTATGATGTATGTTTCAGAGTTTTGGGCGGTTGATAAGAAAGTAGAGCAGAAAATGAGTGTAGCAGTGATGAGAATGCTTAAATGGATGAGTGGAGTGACTACAAAAGATAGAATTAGGAACGAGCATATTAGAGGGAGTATAAGTGTAGCATCAATCGTGGATGAGAGAAAATAGACTTAGATGATTTAGTCATGTTATGAGGAGAGAATAATCGGAAGCTGTAATAACAGTTATAGAAATGAATGTTGAAGGAAGAACAGGTAGAGGAAGACAAAAAAAGAGATGAAGGGATGTTATTAAATGCGATTTGAGGACAGCTGATGTGAGCGTAGAGGATGTGGAAGATCGTGTCAAGTAGAAGTTTAGGATAAGGATAGCCGACATCAAGTAGTTGGGATTAAAGCGAGGAAAAAGAAGAAGACTTTTATAATTAAAGTATTTGGCACTATAATATTACTTTCTAGTATTACAATGTTACATATAAATTCCTTAAAACAAATAATTATAAAATAATTATGGGTTTATGACATTCGGCCTTATCTGGTGCTGGTAATTATGTCAATCACAGACTGTTGGTTGGCGGACATTCATCTGTATTTATATCAACGCCGTCGATCGTCGATAAGTAATACGTGGTGAAAACATATAAATAAAAAACAAAAAAAAATTTACATTAATAGTACCTTCGTTGGGTTGGGATTGTATACAGGGTGATTTTTTTATCATAACCCATTCAATTACTTACAGAATAATTTTATTTAAACATTTTTTTTTTTTTGGTTATCTTTAGTTACACACTATTTTTGAATTATTAACTATGTAATACTTTTTAAGTTCATCCCTTATGCCTGGTAAGGGTGTCAACTTTGTTTTTTTTAATGGGAACACATATTTTGAATTTAATAAAATGTTTGAGTTTTTAATTTAATAGTAAATGGCATTTGAATTTTTAATATAACTTTATTTGTTTATTAGATATAAACATTTAAAGTTTCAAATTTTTGAGTTAATATATAGGTATAATACACAAGGGATTACAAATACAGGTAGCTAATTGGATTTTTATGATATTGCAGTCATAGTCACGGATTGTTTATTATCAATTATGACTATCAATAGATATACTTTTTGTATTATCAGTTAGTGTATTTATAAACTCACAACAATATGCCTTACTACCATTGATAATAACAATTCTGTGTACCTGTGAATATTGATGTCATAAAAAATCAATTAGCTACTTGTATTTGTAATACCTTGTGTATTATACAGGGTGATTTTTTTATCATAACCCACTCAATTACTTACATAATAATAATAATTAAAAATTTTTTTTTTATTACTATCTTGAGTTACACATTATTCTTGAATTATTAACTATGTAATACTTTTTAAGTTCATCCCTTATGCCTGGTAAGGGTGTCAACTTTGTTTTTTTAAATGGTAACACGTATTTTTAATTCAATAAAATGTTTGAGTTTTTAATTCAATAGTAAATGGCATTTGAATTTTTAATAAAACTTAATTTGTTTATTAGATATAAACATTTAAAGTTTCAAATTTTTGAGTTAATATATAGGTATAATACACAAGGGATTACAAATACAGGTAGCTAATTGGTTTTTTATGACATCGATATTAGCAGGTACACAGCATTGTTATTATCAATGATAGTAAGGTACATTGTTGTGAGTTTATAAATACACTAACTGACAATACAAAAAGTATATCTATTGATAGTCATAATTGATAATAAACAATCCGTGACTGTGATAGCAATATCATAAAAAACCAATTAGCTACCTGTATTTGTAATCCCTTGTGTATTATACCTATATATTAACTCAAAAATTTGAAACTTTAAATGTTTATATCTAATAAACAAATTAAGTTTTATTAAAAATTCAAATGCCATTTACTATTGAATTAAAAACTCAAACATTTTATTAAATTAAAAATATGTGTTACCATTTAAAAAAACAAAGTTGACACCCTTACCAGGCATAAGGGATGAACTTAAAAAGTATTACATAGTTAATAATTCAAGAATAATGTGTAACTAAAGATAATAATAAAAAAAAATGTTTAAATTATTATTATTCTGTAAGTAATTGAGTGGGTTATGATAAAAAAATCACCCTGTATATGTATTCGAAAATTTGGAACAGATGATACCAAAGATAAATTCTGTAAGTGATGACCAGGTAAAAAAATTGTTAACGGAATTTAAAGATTGGATTAAGCCTTTATTCGTTTTTTATCACAAAAACGATCAGAGATATGAGATTGTAAATAACAATAAAAAACTACTAAAGAAACTCGATGAAAAAATTAAATCCGGATTGTTATTTAAAAATTAAAAAAAAATTAATCTAGATTCAAATTATTGTGGAAAGAAACGAAATAAGAATAATTTAGTTTTATTTATCGATAAAATTTACTCTGAGTATGAAATAAAAAGTAACAAATATTCAAACAATTATTGTTACTTTTAAAAATGAACACGTATAATTGAAATAATTTAATTTCTAATATTAATTGCATCTGATCATATCGGATTAGTTGTATAAACTCATAAAAATATGTGATATAACAGTTTTATTATTTTATTATAGGCTGCTGAATAACTCGTAAAATAAATACAATAGTTATAAAAATAATTTTTTTTTTATTTTTAATTACTTAATTAATTAATTTTTTTATCTTTTTACTGCTAATAATATCATATCTTACTTGTATTAATGTCAACAATATTTTAGATTGATGCGAATCTGATTTTATATTGGTTTTGTGATGGTGTGTATTTTTTTATGGGTATGTTTAAAAATGGCATCTCTACTGTCCTAAATTTAATGATATATATATATTTATTTATATGTCAAAAAGTTCCCAAACATGATCTTGTCGAAGATTTCCCTATCAAAAATTTAGAAAAATATCTTAAAATACAGCACAGATAGCCTTTAGCTGCCACAGAGTTTACATGTCTCGTGTTTCGCTACCGTTTTTTATGCTATAACTTTACGTTAAATTTATCATTTAATACAAATCAGTTTTGTTTAAAATATTTAAATCAACGAATCCAAGATATAAGAAAAATATTAATATCATAGTGATCCTTCGGGATCTAGGTAAGAATATAATATTTCACTACTTGCCTCAAAATGAGTAATAGTAATAGTAGTCCACCAAAGACGCCGTTGTCTAGAATTAGAAACGTTCCGATAACTATTGTAAATCGTTCTCAAATAATCAGCAGTACAAAAGACAAACAAAAAACTGCTACTGCCGAGTCCGATGACGACTGGATAACCGCTTTATCATCTAATAAAAGACCACATATACATTCACCCGGATCATCTCTAATAGCAAAACACAGTGGTACTTCCAATAATAATATCAAAGTACTAAACCGGTTCACACCTCTTCAAACAAGTTCAGATAACATGAAAACATTACCAACAAATCAACCCACCGCCTATATTCATCAAATCTGATTTAAACTACGTTAACTTTTGCGAGGCTATAAAAAAAATTATTGATATCGATGAGTTCACTTGTAAAAGTAACACATCTGGTTTAAAACTTCAAATAAAAACCCCTGACTCATATAGAAAAATTGTTTTGTTATGGTTAAGTACAGTTTGAAATTCATTTTTGTGTTGATAAAGACCATTAGCGTTCCAAAGTAGTATTTTGATGATAGGATTTATTTATGTAGGCATTTTAGTCATTTTTTAAAATAATTTTATTAATTACAGTGGTTAGTAAGGATATCAAAGGATTAATTAAGGAATTTAAGTCATTTAAGAATGAGGAAAGTTGTTTAGTGAGTTCATTTTTTTTTGTATTAGTTGTTTCTATATTTTGTGACTTGTTTGAATATTTGGTCTGTTGAGTTACTTTTGCGTACAATTTGTGTGTGTTTGGTTCATACACATTAGTGTTTTCTAATTGGGTGTTACCAGTGGGGACCTGTACATTGTATAAATTCGTATGAACAAAAGGTTGATTGCTATTTTAAGATTTTGGATTGGGTGATTTCCGTTGTTGTTCATTTTTATACACGGGGCAACCTCTGTAATTCGCTGGATGAGCTCCTCCACATAATATACATTTGGGCGGTTCATCTTTAGTTTTTTGACAAATATTTGACAAATGTGAATCGTCACATTTGACACAGCGGGGTTCGTGGTTACAATATTTTTTATTTTCGCCAATGAATCGCCATTATCGCCAATGAATTCAATATTCCTCCAAATACATTATCGTCAATTATCAAACAGAGAGAGAAAATAATGAAGTTCAATTGTGGAACTATGAAAAAAATGAGGATGATTTCTAATTTTGACATTGATAAATGTTTGCTAAAATGGTTTACACAGTGCCGAGATAAAAACATTCCATTAAATGGAACAATTTTACTTGAAAATGCACAACAACTAGGACACACTAATTTTAAAGCTAGTAGTGGATAGCTTACAAATTGGAAAAAAAGGCATGATGTAGTTTTTCGAACTGTTTGTGGAGAAAAAGCTTCAATAGACACACATTGTTGTTCAAATTGGATTAAAAATCTTCCTGGCGTCATAGCAGTTTATTCTTCTAACAATATTTTTAATGTCGATGAAACGTGCTTACTTTTTAAATACTTTTTAAAAACATTAATGTTAAAAGGTAAAAAATATTCAGGTGGAAAATATGGTAAAGAGCGCATTACAATTATGGTAGGAGCAAATATGTCTGGAACTGAAAAATTAAAATTATTTGTCATTGGTAAAGTAAAGAAGCTTAGGTGTTTTAAAGGAATTAAATCTTTACCAGTTGATTATAGGTCAAATAAAAAGGCTTGGATGACTTCGTCATTATTTAGTGAGTGGCTCTTAAATTTCGACAGAAAAATGAAAGTAGAAAATCGAAAAGTTCTATTATTCAATGATAATTGTACAGCTCATAATCACGATGTTGAATTAAGTTCCATTAAAGTACATTTTTTACCAGCTAATACAACATCTATACTTCAGTCCATGGACCAAGGCGTTATACAGAATTTCAAAATGTTTTATAGAAAAGAAATAATCAAACGGTTAGTCGATAACATCGATAACAACGAAGCATTTTCTATAAACATACACGAAGCTATAAGAATGTCTAATAAGGCTTGGAGAAGTGTAACACCACAGACTATATTGAATTGCTTTATAAAAGCCAGTTTTAAAGACGGTGATATAATTGCATTATATAACTCAACTACTATTTCTGATGTTAAATGAAATATTGTTTCTGATCTTAATTTTGACGACATAAGTTTTTCACATTATGTGAAAAAGAAGTAGCTGATCTCTTTTCCTCTTATTTTTCCTCTACCTACTCTATTGATAAAATAAATCTCGATAACAAACAACTAGGTATTTTACATTATGACTAACCAAGTTCGGTAAGTCTAAGTATTTATGATGTTCACCAGGAGCTTTGTTACTTAAAGAGGAATTGGTCTGTTGGTCCGGATGGACTATGTGGTGAGTTGCTCTTCCAGTTGAGGTCATATATTGCTTTTCCTCTTTGGCTATTTTTCAGTAAATCCTTACATGAAGGCATTTATCCGTCTATTTTTAAATTAAGTTCTATAACACCAATTCCCAAAACCACTAACTCTGCTTCTGTGTCTGATTATAGACCTATTTCTGTTCAGTCTCACATTTCAAAAATTTTTGAAAAGCTCGTCCTTAATGTAATTCGTCCTTCATTAAAACATATAATTTTAGAGGAACAGCATGGCTTTAGTCCTGGGCGCTCAACTACCACTTGCAACTTGGTTTTTTGTAATTTTGTTTTAAATGCTTTTGAACAAGGCTCCCAGGTTGATGTGCTTTACACAGATTTCAAAAAGGCATTTGATTCTGTTAATCATGAAGTTCTTCTTAATATACTTAAATTAAATGGCTTTGGGGAACCTCTTTTAACATGGTTTAACTCCTATTTAAAAGAAAGATATCAATGGGTGAAATTGTTTGGGACACAATCTAAACTATTTTTAGCTTCCTCTGGGGTACCACAAGGTGGACACTTGTCTCCGTTGTTATTTTCATTATTTGTAAATAGTATAAAAAATGTATTATTAAACTGTAAATTTTTGTGCTTTGCTGACGACATGAAGTTGTTCTTGCAAGTAAGTTCTACTGATGACTGTATTATGCTACAGAATGACCTAGATAAATTTACATTATGGTGCTTAAACATAGGTTTAACCCTTAACTTTGAAAAATGTCGTGTTATGACATTCACTAGATCTCGGTCACCTATTATTTTTTCTTATAGTCTTTGCGGTGCTAATGTTGTAAGAATTAATGATTCTGTACTTGACCTTGGTTTTAAATTCAGTAAAACATTGGATCCTAAGTGTCACATAGAAATGGTATGCTGTAAAGCGTTGAAAAAGCTCGGCTTTATAATAAGATTAGCTGCTAACTTAAAACTAAATTCTTCGCTAAAAATATTATATTCTTCATTGGTTCGGCCAATTGTAGAATATGGTTCTATTGTTTGGAACCCTCATTCCTTATCTGATGCCACCCAAATTGAAAGGGTACAACGGAGATTTTTGCGGCATGCTGGATTTATATTGGGTATCCAACATGACCCTCATGATTATTCTCCAGTTGCAAACAACCTTAATTTATCGTCACTGACTGATCGTAGAGTTGCTGCAGGCATTAAATTTCTAAATGAATTGCTGAATGGAAATATTGATTCACCATATCTTCTAAATTTAATAAATTTTAAAGTTCCTCAGAGAAATTCTCGTTCCTATTTTCTTTTTTTTTATCCCCATTTGTTCTACCAATTACTTACAAAATGAGCCCATTAGAAGAATTTTAAATAGTGCCAATATGGACCCACTTATGTTATCTTGTTAACCACCTTATTTTTGTATTTTTGTTATTTTTCTTATTTTTGTACCTCATAGCAGCTTGTATTTTTATATACCTATATTCGTATATTTCTGTTGAATCACTGTGAATTACTCCGTAATGTTATTTATGTTTCTGTTGAATTACTCACTTATGTTATGTATGTTTAAATTGTTATTAATCTAAATTGTAAAAAAGGGCTATGCCCGTTAAATTTATAAATAAATAAATAACTCAACTACTATTTCTGATGTTAAATGAAATATTGTTTCTGATCTTAATTTTGACGACATAAGTTTTTCACATTATGTGGAAATGGACAATAATGTACACGTATGTGAAACATGGACAGATAATGATATTTTATCAGAAACCATCGAAAATACCAGCGAGAGTGAAGACGAACCACAAAATGAGGAGGAAGTCATTTTTGAAGTTATAATTCAACAAGCTAAACATGTTTTAAAAACACTAAGGAATTTTGTTGAAACTACTACAGGTATGGAAGATAATGCTTTTTCTGCATTATCTAATTTGGAAGATATCGTGGCAGAAAGAAGTAATATTAAGCAAACTTTAATGACAAATATTTTTGTCAAAAAAAAATAATTTATTCAGTCATATCAGTATTTTAAGTATTCAAATTATTTATATAAGGAATTCGTAATATTTATTATTCATGTACATTATATAACATACATTTATTTATTATTATTATTTTTTTAATAAAACTCGATATCTCGAACTTTTTTCTGTTCCCCTTAAGATTCGACATAACGAGAATTTACTATATTAGATAACAGCAAATAAAAAAAGTAATCACTTAAATGTATTTCTAATGTTTTTTCTTTAGAAGCAATCAATGAACCCGAAACCTCTCTAGCAACGAATCCAGTTTTTTATGATTTTCTTCAAAAAGGTAAATTACTTGTAGATAAAATTAATTTTTGGGTTTTAGAATTGGAAAATTGAAATTCTTAAAATTCGATTTTATAGTGTAAAGCTACTAAGTTATATTCTAATATTATGACACGGGTTAAGATATGGTTAAAAATATTATATTATAATATTGTAAGACTGTTTTGAATGTTAACTAATATAATAAGAAGTAAATTAATTTTGTTATCAAAATTTTAATTTCTATACAATTATAATATAACACAAATTAATTATAATTTTTATGAGATGAATATCTCAAGATACCAATTTAATTCATAATATTTGGCTAGTTTTAACAATCTTAACTGATCGAAAATAAATATAGTTATACATAATTTATATAAATTAGTCTAAAATAAAATGTTTCAAATTTTTACTTCTTAAATAAATTTTTCCTCTTAAATAATTATTTTATTTTATCAGATTTAATAGGTGATACCATAATGAATGAAGAAACTGACATTGAAAAAGGAGAACTTACTAAAAAATATCCACAACATTTTATAAAATTTTTATAAGTTTTATTTTTTATTATTATTTAGGCACATTATTAAGGTAAAATAGGATTTTAGTTGAATATAAATATAATTAGAAGGATGCGAGATTATATGTATTTATCAATTTTGTTGATTCATTCTAAATTACTTATTACTAAATTATTTATCTATTTACTTGTATTTCGATGCAATTTGAATATACCACCAACATGTATAAAATTTTTATTAATTGACTTTAGAACTTAATAATATGATGCTTTCATGGTTATAACATTGGACTGATTAAGGGTATTTATCCCACTCAAATAAAAAATATATCAATGTTACAATATTTTCCTACGAAAAAGTTTCACAAACTTAAACTGTTCCAAATGGCTTGGACAAAATGTTTAATGCAAATAATTCTGCACCCTATCATTAGGTACATAATAATATTACATGTGAGCATACTTATTCTAGAGCATATTTATATGATATACCGCAACTTATTTGGCAATTTCTCAATTTTTAAAAAACACTGTTAAAAATTCTTTTTTGAAACTGAACTTTTTCGACATACTAGTACTCTTATTTAAAAATGTGTTAACTCCAAATTAGTTGCTACATGTACGATACTTTGGCTCAACTTATTATAATTAATGGTGTTTTCTCAATTCAAAATGATTACCTAATTTCGCTACATTACATTTTTAAAGGAAATTTTATTATAACACATAAGTATAGCCTATTTCAAATTATATTCTTGACAATATTAATTCAATGATATTAAAATGTCAATTATGTATAATTACCAAATCAGTAGTCACAATAATGTTCGATACAAAACATTATAGATTAAAGTTTTCTATTATTATGCTTAAAATTATTAATTTCTATTAAAAATGTCATAATATTCCTATCATAGAGAATAAGAAATCTAAATATTAGATTATGAATCATTTTTACTCTAATAAAATTGTTATTATATTATAAAATCAAATGTTATTTATATAATATCAATTCCCACCAATTAATGTAATTAAAATATCTTTAATTTTTTTTGTGCTTAATTTAATATTGCAAATTAATTATCAGTTATTTTATTTTAATTTAAAATAAAGTTAGACTTTCTATTTTTTATTTTTATTTCTATATTTATTTTATCAAATTTTGATATTGTTGATAACTGCTTCATTTTACACATTATTGAAATTTAGTCGTGAACTTACACAACTATAACTCATGAAATTTTCTACAAATATAATTAGATTTTAATAATTCAATTTTTTTAGTATATTAGGATAATTTTTTAGTGACACCTTTTTTTATGATAATCCGCACAGTGGTCTGAAAGTGAATTTTAGGCAATCGTAAGTCGCATTTTAAAATGTACTCACAATATTAAAATAATTATGAAAACTCAATTCTAGTATATTGCTCAGACAAAATATAAAATTTCAAGGACATATGTTAATCTGGTGGTTATTTATATCCGTTTGAAGTATACATATACTTATATTACGGTTAACATAAAAAAAGTCTTTCGATGTCAACTTTTTTAACGAGTTAAATTTTTTTTTATTTATAGTTTAATTTTAAAATTATATTAAATTTACAATTAGCTTTCTTTTATTTCGATTTCTGATATTGAATTGTTTAAATTATTTATTTCATCTTCGATGTTCGTTTCGGTACTGACAAATAAATTTTGCACATCGATAGAAAATTTATTTATAATCTTTTTTGAAAATAATTTCATTGATGATATGTATGTATCACTTGATACTAATAGCATATGTATCAAATATTTATTGTTATATACCTCTAACTTTTTCTAGTATGGTGAAGTATTTATTATAATCTGTGATTCTGGCTTCTTGGGCTTCTTCCGAAAGTTTCCCTAAAAATATATTCAAATAAATTATTACACCGTTTAATTGTTATATAGAATAGTAATTAGAATAGAAACCGGAAGTATTGCGAATCGTATTACGTTAGCTCCATGAATTAACATTTTGTGGACACTACCAGGTACATAATACCACGGGTATAAATCAATAAAAATTTTAGCTGTCTTCATAGCATAAATATTAAAAGCATCTACAATAATTTTTCTCCATTGGAAATTACTATAAGTATATATCCGAATCGTTGTACTAAATTTATATCTATTCCTGTTGTGTGAGGTGTTCTTTCTGGATTTTTCAAAAATCACTTTGCAATATTTCCATCGTTTAAATTGCCTTTTCCTAATATATTGAATTAGTATATTCAGTAAACATAATAATTATTACTTACAGCTTAAGAGGACGTTATACAGCTAATTTTAGAACGTAAAAACATGTCTTCTTAAAATGCATTTTACACACTAAGTACTGCACTTAGAGCAATAACATCCATTATAAAAAAGAGATTACTTTTGTCGTACGAGTTCGTACAAATCACGATATGTTATCCGTTTTTCAGTTATGTAATCGTCTTAAAATAAACATATTTAGTATTTTAGTGAATATTTATGGTTAGTCTTAAAATTAATGTTTAGTTTTTATATTTCATACTTCTATAAACATGTTAAATTTCATAAATTTATTAATACTGTAGTAGAAAATCAAGAAATTATAATTCGATAAAAATATTTTGATAGAATACTGTTTAACATATAAAAATATTTATGATTTGTTAAACTTTTATTAATCAATTTTCATTTTTAATTACTTATTATAATATTGTAAGGCAATTTGTTTTTACTTACTTTCATATTGGTTATCCATGGTTAAAATGTTGTGAAATTTTAAATCTCGTTAAATGAGAAATGTATTTGAATAATAAAATTTATAATAATAAATATAAAATTTAGGAATTCACATAAAAAAAAAACCCAGCACAGGGTGGTCGCAGCACAGTGGTGACGTGGTATAGATGGATCAAGTATAATGATATCTGACAGTGATTAAAATCACTATAAAAAAAAAACGCTTCGATGCAAATCTTTAGATAGTGTTTAATTTTAAAAAATTGAAGGATTATTCCAAAAGCTTCATAAACTGCTAGTTCCTTATTAATATCCTGATTAAGATAAAGTATGTCGAATGAAAAAGGGATTATTAAAAAATAGAATTTCCCATAAAAAAATTATATTGATTAATACACTTTTCAATAAGTTATAGCATTATAAAGTTAAAAATGTAAAAAATAAAATTGAGAATTTTCACACAATAATAGCATTTGGTAGCCATTTTCATCGTGAAGACAAAATAAAGTCCGAAATTTGTTTTTTACATAATAAAGTAGATTACATTAGCTTTAATTTAATATATATAAAAAAGTGTCAGACTTTCCGGAACACTTTCAAAATTTAAGTTGAAAAAGTAAATTTTTTGTGAAAAAGTTGTCATTTTGAATCCCCCCCTGTAGGCAGGTAAAAAGTCAGATTTATAAAAAAAATATACCAAATGATAGGTAAAGACATCATGCATCTACAAAAAAAAGAATTATATTGATCCATACATCTTTCGAGAAGTTATAGCATTATAAAGTTAAAAATATAAAAAAGAATTTTTTTACAAAAATCGTATTTTTTTTATTAAGTTTAATGTCTGTTTTCACCATGAAGATAAAATAAAGTCCGAAATTTTTTTTTACCATAATAAAGTATATTACATTAGCTTTAATTTAAGATATATATAAAAGTGTCAGACCTTCCGGAACACTTTCAAAAGTTACGTTGAAAAAGTTCTACTTTCTATATGCATTTTTATGTTTTGAATCCCCCCTGTATTTAGGGAAATGGTCCGATTTAAAAAAACAGTATGTCGAATGAAAGATCTATATAAATACTACTTCTCATAAAAAAATTGTAATGATTCATACATTTTTCAAAAAGTTATAGCATAATAAAGTTAAAAATGGAAAATACAAAATCGAAAATTTTCACACAAAAATAGCATTCGGTAGCCATTTTCACCATGAAGATAAAATAAAGTCCGAAATTTTTTTTTTTCATAATAAAGTATATTACATTAGCTTTAATTTAAGATATATATAAAAGTGTCAGACCTTCCGGAACATTTTCAAAATTTAAGTTAAAAAAATTAATTTTTTGTGAAAAAGTTGTCATTTTAAATCCCCCCTTGTGGGCAGGTTAAGGGTTAAATTTATGAAAAAAATATACCAAATGAAAGGTAATGATATTATGCATCTATATAAAAAAGAATTATATTGATATGTTCATTTTTGAAAAAGTTATGGCACTTTTAAGTAAAAAAAATTGAAAAAATTTCGAAAATTAGCGATTTTTAAATTTGTAATTTTTTTGGAGGTTTCCCCCATTTACGGGGAACGAGGGAATTTTTTTCAATTTTTAAGGGTAATGTCTTCGACTAGATACGATTTGTGATCTTTTGACGTATCATTGAAAGAAATAGGTTCGGTGAGAGCTGAGAAAAAGTGGTAACAGACACAAAAAAAAAAAAAAAAAACACATCTTAGTAAAACCAATACCTTC